ATATTTTCCTTAACACCTAAAGAATATGCAGCAGTTTTCATAATAGAAAGTTTATTTACTTTTTCTCTATAGAAACTCGGGATTCGGTCCCCAAGGATATTTGCCTTTAATTTTTCATGAGTATCCATGCACTATATCTAGAATATATTCAACGCTGACATCATTTGGATCAAACCTCTGGTGCCATCCCAACAAAGGAGGTCCTTTGGAGGTCCCTTGGAAACAATCCAACAAGGACAAATGGTGTAACTCTTTTATAGTTCATCTAATTGCCATTCCTCTTCAACTGAAAAAAAAAAAGAGAATGTGTAAAGCATTCACTGTTTCAGTGAACTTTCTTCATTTGAGATGCCATATTTCTCAGTTCTCATGAGACTCTGCTCAGAAGAGATGATTCTGAATCAGCATGAGTGAAGCTGCTTTTATCTGGTTTCCAAGAAATTGGGACATCTTTATATTACTAAGTCTTCAAAGGTTCCTTGAACACTCAATCAAAAAAGGGGAGGAATCAATTAGAGATGATGTCCAAGAATGATTTTCTTCCCATATTCCCATTGTCAATTTGTAAAACATTCCTATGCCAGCTTCCAAGTTGCCTTAAGAAAGCGGGGGGGAATCCTTTTTAAGCAGATGGCAAATGAACATTCCAAGCTTACCTTACAGAGATTGTAACTGAGGCAACCAGATATTCTGGGCATGAAAATCCTCTATTGGAGAGCGTGATTGATGACACTTAGTCCATGAATGTGTTCCATTGGACAATCTGAATTATGATACATGGGTGGGGGGAACAGGGTCATAGGTGATCATAAATTATGTATCTCAGACTAGGCTTCATACAGATTATGCCAATATGTCACTCCTAATAACATCTTTAAAGTTTTTTGAAGTTTGGCTCGAGGCTCATGGTTTAATTAGGGCAATCACTGAAATTCTGATACCCATGTTCAGTTTTCCATGGAATTAAACTGAAGTCATTAACCATACTATCCTCAGGATTGCAGATTTGTCATCCACTCCAACCTTAGGTGAATGAGAGGATGATGTAGGGAACCAGGCATTTTATACTTTAGTGGGGTGTTTTTCAAACTTGGCAATTTTAAGATGGCTGGGCTTCAACACCCAAATTCTGCATATTTAGTCTTAATTATGAGGACAACAGAATCATGTCTTGTGTGTTGGGATGTTATCATCTAATGATTAGTTAGTTTACTTTATTGTCATTGCACCTCATACAATGAAATAAAACATCATTTTCAGTGCATATCATGACCATGAAAATAAACAGAAACACACATCCTTCACACTCCACACATCTAACTGAAAACCCCGATGCCACACCAATACTGCACTATACAGCAGAATTCAACAGAGCTACTGCCCTGAGATAGAAGCTGTTTTTCAGCCTATTTGTCCCTGTTTTTATTGTCTTGTACCATCTGCCAGATGGTAATAGTTAAAAAAAAAAAGGTGCCCAGGATGAAGTGGATCTTTCAGAATGTTTTGAACTTTCTTAAGGCAGCGAGAGCTATAAATCTCTTCCAAAGGGGGGAGAGGGCAACCAAAGATCTTCTGGGCAATGATGTTAACCCTCTGGAGTGCTTTCCTATCTGCCACTGTGCAATTGGCAAACCATACAGAGGTGCAGTAAGTTAAGATACTCTCTATGATGCAGCAATAGAAGAAATGATAATGATGTGCAGTACATCATTTTCTCATACGTTCCATGGACCAGCACCAGTCCTTGGAATGCCAGAAACTGGGCCATGCAAACAAAGGAAGCCTCATCCACAGGATGCAGGCAACACACAAAACCACACCTCATCCAGTCCATGGAAAAAGGTCTCTTCGTGGAACTGGTCCCTGGTGTCCAGAAGGTTGGGCTCAGGTGTGGGATTCTACTGGTTTGGACCAGTTTGGATAAACCAGATGTTAAATTTGCATCTGGTTTGCCAAACCAGTATTTGAACTGACCAATTGGTCCCACCCATCCCACCCACACTGCCCCACCTCTCCCAGGAGTCTCCACATGACACATTTTCAATGCAGATAAGTACAGGGTCTATGTGGAGGCTCTGGGAGGGGGAAAATGGGCCTTCCTGAAGTCCAGAAATGGGCCTGTTTCTGGCTTCTGGAGGGCCTCCAGAGTCCAGAGGGCCTCTAGAGCCCAGAAGGAACATTTTTTTCCCTCCCAGAGGCCTGAGAGAAGCCTCTAGACCCTTGGGAAGGCAAAAAATGGTCCTACAAGAAGTACTGGAAGTCTGGAAATGGGCCTATTTCTGGCTTCCGGAGGGCCTCCAGAGCCCCAGGGAGGCCATATTCACCCTTTCAAAGGATTGAGGGAAGCCTCTGGACCCTTGGGAAAGCGAAAAATGGCCCTCCTGGAAGTTCTAGTAGGCCACACCCACCATGGCCACGCCCACCCAGCAAATGGGCAGCGAACCAGTTGCTGGGATTTTTGAATCACACCCCTGGTTGGGTTCCACTGTATGAGATCATGTTCCTTTTAGTGTTGTGTCCCATTCCTGCCTCCATTTGATTCATTTTCATTGCAAATGGTGGACTCGAGACTGCTTGTATTTATGTGGAAAGTAGAGAGTTTAAATATCTTTTTGGGATACATAATTTTGCATTCTTGCATCAAAATGGGGGCAGGAGATAAAATGTAGTGTCTTAAATGTCCCCTTTCAACTTTGGTGTTTTATGAAGATATAATTCTATGCTGCATTAGAATGTTGCTTAAGAGTAGAAGTCCCAAAATATGTGATCTAGAATGAACCTAGTAAATCATGGTCAACAGGATGGCAAAATACATAGACTTGAAAATGTTACACTGAAGAAGGATCCTTTTTAGGAGCCAAGGTTCACAATTTGATTCTTGTCTATGACACTCTTTTCTGTTCTCCACTCCATGCATTTTCCAGGCTTCTATTTATTCTCATCATAAAGAAAAAAAAATATCATGCATTTGTGACATATGAAAAGCTTTGCAGATATGCTGTCTTTTTAGTAAATGATACTACTCAAGGAACAGAAGAATGTGAAAAAATATTTTTCTTCTTCTGCTTCCAATATTTCTCCATAAAAGGCAGAGATATGATTGACCTAAGGTTCCCACAAGCTTTGTGGACTAAGAGGAACTTAAATTCCAGGACCAAGATATCAACTCATGGACCACATCATTTCACCCTACAGAAACTCCAGGTAATGGAGACCAAGAAAACAGCTTAGAAAACCAACTTGATTGAAAAGACATCATCATACAATGTCAATTCATTATGGTAAACCTAATATCTCAACAGGTCTGGAGTCATTGAACCTCAATCTTCATCACTGATGTGGAAAAAGCAAATTTATCTTCCACATATTTTTTTACTTACATAATGTTGTATCTTTGAATCAATAGATTAGATTGCAACTATGTATTAATCTTTCATGACACATATTAAAAATAAGGAATATTCAACAGATGCTTTATAAAAATGCGTATCTATGATATGAATATGATATGGTACAATATATAAATATACATTATTTTAGATAATTTCTTTAAAAAAATGGTAGGTTGAACAGATATTACAATTGTTGAAAGCTTTAATTCGTAATCAATATAATCATAAATGAAGTCCTGATCAATACTTAATGAGCAGTGCTAATTATGCTCATTTCTCGAACATTGGCAATAAGAAAGAAATCCTATGCTTTTATATCAAGCTTTATTCTCTGAGTCCTATGAACATCATTCAATAAAATATAATTTGAAAAGAGTAGGCTGTCATTTCTTCATCAAAAGGGTCCCGACTCCATTCTTCAACAGATTTGGTAATCCAGATACTATACTACTTATAGCCTACACATCATGTCCAAATGTCCATCAAGAGCTTATATGTGCCCAATTTTTTTCAACATAGACCACCCTGTCCTTGAATGGCTGGGGAGGGGACTGGACATTAACATTTGATCCAGTATAAATCCATGTATTTGCCATTGACTAAATAAATACATAAATTCCAAAAATCTGTTTCTAAGTAGGTGGCTAATGACCATGCAATAACATTGCTAGTTTTATGCTTTACAATAATAGATCATAAATGCAAACAAACATAAAACACCAGAGGGCAGGACAAGAAATAATAGATGGAAACTAATCAAGGAGAGAAGCAACCTGGAATTAAGGAGAAATTTCCTAAAAGTGAGAATAATTAACCAATAGAACAGCTTGCCTTCAGAAGTTCTGGGTGCTTCATCACTGGAGGTTTTTAAGAAGAGACTGGACAGCCACTTGTCTGCAATAGTATAGAGTCTCCTGCTTGAGCAGGGAGGTAGACTAGAAGACCTCCAAGATCCCTTTCAGTTTTATTCTGTTTGATATTGTGCAAGATTGCCCACAATGTGTGTTCTCTGGCTCCTTAGAAGACCTGCATGGAGCAACACCAGGTGATCTCCTGAATAGCTGAACTGGTCATCCAGTTATGAGGCCACTGCTGTACCCCCTTATGAGTTTTGTATATAATTACATGGATTGTGTGAACCTGTTTACCTCTCTTTTGTTGTGTTCTCGCCATACACTAAACAATAAATAGATCACAGGAGCTTCCCACCAATCCTTTTTACCTTGTGATCATCACACAGTTGCACATTAAGAAAAAAAAGGTAACCTACTGAAGGTACTTTTCCAAGAGGCAACTGGACTTTCTTTGCTTTTCCTTGAACATGTTTTGTTTCTCAAAAGCTGAGGAAGCTTCTTGGATGAGATGCAAAACATCTTCAAGGAAAAACAAAGGAAGTCCAGTTGCCCCTTGAAAAAGTACCTTTGGGACAACCATGATCTGGATGTCTGAGAATCTCCATAGACTTTTATAACTTACCAGTTTACCTACTGTTTTCCCCCCATCTTTTTTAAGGTAGACTTATTAAGACTATCTTCACAATAGCATTGACATGGATTCTGAAACTTTGAAGCTTGATGCTTCTGAAAGGACATCACTTGTCAACAAAGGTTATGCCATGAGATTTGGGAGACCTGGAGTCTTTCTTTCTAAAACTTTCCTTACTGCCTCCTTGACTTCATTGTTCCTAATGGTGTAAATGAAAGGATTTAGCACTGGGGCAACCATGGTGTACAGTATGGAGACAGACTTCAGCCTACTGAAGGAAGAGTTCTTGACAGTAGGTCTTAAATAGACAAAAAAGACTGACCCGTACAAAATACAGACTACAACCAAATGGGAAGCACATGTAGAAAAGGCCCTCTGCTGTTTGGTTGATGAAGACATTCGGAGAATGGTGGAGATGATGAAGAGGTAAGAAATGAGAGTGAAAAGCAGGGAGGACATAATTACAACCACCGTAATTAAAAAACCAAGTACTTCAATGACTTGTATATCTCCTCCTGCAATCTTCAGCACAGGTCCTATATCACAGTAGAAATGGTTGATAATGTTTGACGTACAGTAGGGTAGGTTTGCTATCATCACTATTTGATAAAGGATAGAGAAAAAACCTCCCAACCAGGCACCTGTTGCTAGTTTAAGGCAGACCCCAGAAGTCATGATTGCACCATACCTCAGGGGGTAGCAGATGGCTATATACCTGTCCAAGGATATCAAAGTCATGATAAAAAACTCTGTGACCCCAAAGAGGAAGTAAAAGTACAGTTGTGTTATGCAGCAGTAGAAACAGATGGAATTCTTTGCAGAGACATAATTGACCAGCAATTTAGGAATAAAGGCTGTGGTGTGTCCAATGTCAATGCAAGACAGGTTGCTAAGGAAGAAATACATGGGCTTCTGGAGATGGTGGTCCAAAATTACCATCCCAATAATGAGTCCATTGCCCATCAGACACAGGAGGTAGAGCAGAAAGATGCTTGCATGCATCACACTTTCCATTTGATCTACACTTGGCAATCCGACCAGGATAAATTCTACCGCTCTTGTACAATTGGTCAAATTCATGTTCTCCTATAAAAAGAAAAAATGTGGAGTCTTCACTGAGTTAGTTTTCAGATACATTTCTAAACACCATTTTCATGCATGACTGCATCACACAAAATATAATTGGATATTTAACATTTAACTTCTACAATGCTAAAACAAACCTAGGACTGGAACAACTAGCAACCAACAATACTAGACTTAACAACTGCCTCGATCTCATCTTCTGCAATAGCTTGAATTCAATTTATGAAATACAAATTAAAGAACCCTTTTCCAACAGTGACCACAGCATGATTGACTTTTGTCTCAACATACCTCCACACAAAAATCAACACAACTATGCGATCCCCAATTATAACTTCAAAAAAGGCAACTATGATCTTATAAATAACAATCTCTCATCCCTTGATTGGCAATTTCTATTCACTGGATGCAAGACCATTACAACATATTTTTGTTGAAGACCATTACAACATATTTTTACTTGAACTCAAAAGAGTCATCAAACTATATGTACCAATAACAACTCCCAAAACCAGAAAAAACAGATTACCCATAACAATAAGGAAGCTTCAGTCCAAAAAGAGGTCACTTTGGTGGAAAAACAAATCTGGTCACATTGCCAACTTCAAAAGTGGATACAAAAATTTATGCCATTAGATAAAGACTGAATACACCAATTATCACATTAAACAAGAGGAAAACCTTCTATGCACCAATTCCACTCGCACTTTCTACAATGTTGTAAACAACAAACTAAAAGACTCAAGGTCCATCCCACGCCTGAAAGGACCAAATGGCAAAGACTGCAATGATGACACCATTAAAGCCAACCTCTTTAACACATTCTTTGGCTCAGTATTTGTAAACAGCAATGGATCATGCCCAGTATTTCCTAGTTGAACCACAGACAACTACAATGATCTAATATATATTGATTTTACAGAAGACAATGTTGAAAAAGCACTACACAATCTAAAATCATCTCTATCTATTGGACCAGACGGAATATGTGCCTATTTCTTAAAAAAGCTATCTGCAACTCTTACACTGCAAAAACATATGGACTACACAATTTGATCAGGGCAAAGCAATAGATGCAATCTACATAGACTTCTGCAAGGCCTTTGATTCAGTGATACACAACAAACTACTCCTAAAACTAAAATCTTATGGTATCTCTAGACACCTGCATAACTGGATAGAAGCATTTCTGTCAAACAGACAACAAATGGTCAAAATTGGGAGTGTCATATCAAATTCTGTACCTGTCAACAGTGGTGTCCCCCAAATAAATGTTCTAGGACCAACTCTCTTCATACTCTACATAAATGACCCCTGTGATCATATTAAGAGCAACTGCATCCTCTTCACTGACTATGTAAAGCTATTCAACACCACAGACAATACTGCTACCCTTCAAAAAGACCTCGACTATGTATCAGAATGGTCAAACGAATGGCAACTTCAAATCTCAACAAACAAATGCTCTGTCTTACATATTGGCAAAAAAATCAGAAAATAAAATACAGGCTGAATAGTCAAGACCTTGTTGATGATCCAAACTCTGTCAAGGACCTTGGAGTACTCATCTCAAATGATCTAAGTGCTACAGCCCACTGTAACTACATAGCCAAAAAGGCATTAAGAGTTGTTAACCTAATCTTATGTAGCTTTTTCTCTGGTAATATTACACTAATAACTAGAGCATATAAAACATTTGCTAGACCAATACTCGAACCCACATTATGTATCTGATATTAGCACAGTTGTGAAAGTCCAGAAATATTTCACAAGAGTTCTCCACTCCTCTACTTGTTGCAGAATACCTTATGCCACCAGACTTGAAATTCTAGACCTAGAAAACCTAGAACTACACCACCTTCGGTCCTATTCAAGTATAGTATATAAAATCATACATTGCAATGTCCTACCTGTCAATGAATACTTCAGCTTCAACCATAACAATACAAGAGCAAACAATAGATACAAACTCGAGATTAATTGCACCAAACTTGATTGCAGGAAATACGACTTCAGCAACAGAGTGGTCAATGTCTGGTATACTCTACCTGACTTTGTGATTTCTTCCCCAAACCCCAAAAACTTTAACCTTAGACTGTCTACTATTGACCTCACCCCTTTCCTAAGAGATCTGTAGGGGGTGTGCATAAGCGCACCAGCGTGCCTACCTTCCTTGTCCTATTGTTTCTTTTATTTTTCTTATATGTATCCATGTATTCATAACTATGTTTTTACTTATACCTATTATCTTGTAAGCAATTGACAAATCAAATAAATTAATAAATAAACATGACAAAGGGCACCTGTTATTGCCAAACTTACTTAATTGGAATCCCAGGTCTTTCATTTAAAGTATGATGTATCCTTCTAGCTTTTGCATCTTCTGTAGGTGGAAAATATTGATGGGCAAAGTACAGAGTGTGATGGAAGGTTGAAATATTAGGAGAACATTTGTAGGTGGAAACTCATCTGGATACGCAACACAGATGTGTTGTTGAGAGAAAGAAAATGAAGAGGGGTGAATGGATAAGCAGTTATAAATGTAAAATAGAACATTATGATATTCAACAAATAAGAAATTGTTGAGATGTTGAAAACAAAAGTGAAGAATGTCCCATCAAATCAACAATAAGATTCGTGGTTTGCAGGCATCAATATTGGTTGTGGTTGGTAGGCACCAACGGTTTGTAAATGAACATTTGGTAAATTCCTCTATACATGGATAATCTTAGTTTTATCCTAAGCTACAGAAAGAACCCAAATATTATACATTCACATCTACATACCCAAGTATTCTTAGAAATAAGAAGTCAAGATCATAAACGGTGAGAGATTGTTCTCCATTTCAAGCTGAGACAAGAATAGAGACATCTATTATTTATATATCACAATAAATGTCTTTTTACAACTTCTCAATGGAGATTCTAGGTCCACAAACAGGAGAATCAAGTTTCATTAGGTTTCAAAGGAACATTTTATCCACTTTGATTAAAAAAAATGCTTTACCTAGTTATTTTGAAGCCTTTTCTGCACATTACATCATAGAACTGAATAGTTATGGAGAGATCTTTCACAGAAGATTGGGATAATATCTCCAGAGGAATCCATCTCTTAATTTCCCATGTGAATCCAGACATGATGCTCGGAAGATACTATTTTGAATTAATGTGGCATGATATAATTAGGATCAAATATTAACCCTTGCTCCAAGATTAGTCATCTTCTGTGTATAATTATCTCTGCAGAGTCTTTCAGGGACACTAAAAACATTTTTTCCTTCCACATAATTTTCCTATCCTATGAAATATTCTCTCTTTCCCATTTATCCTCCAAGTTTCTTCTCCATTCACCTGGCCAATAACACATTTTTTCTTTCAAAAATCACCTTCAATACTGGGATCCTTCCTTCAACAAAACTGTTTTCTTACATCTACTTTAAACACATGGTGGCAATCTTGGGATTACTTGAGTCTCACCAAGGGACACACATGCCCTTCTGTAGCAGATATGCTCTCTGAATCATTTCCTGTGGTTTGCCTTCCTTTTACCACCAAATTTACATGTTAGAAGACAATTCTTTTGTGAAAGGAAAGAATATATAACTTCTAAGTATCTGTTGAAGCAAAGGTGGCAGCAAAACCTCTGAAGGTGACTACACCAATTTGAAGCTCTCCAAAGATTATTTTGGGAGGGTTTAGTACCCAAATACTTAATTTGAAAAAAATGTGGCTGTTCTTCTTCATCATCACCTCACTTCTAAGTATGTGTTTACTTCCTAATAATGGTAGACTATAGGTCTAGCTGGGCATGTCTTCAATTCTTTAGGTTTCTTCAAATCAGAAATTGGTGGTAAATTATCACCTGGAAATGACAAGAACTGAAGTATTCAGTTGAATCTCTCTCTCTCTCTCTCTCTCTCTCTCTCTCTCTCTCTCTCTCTCTCTCTCTGTGTGTGTGTGTGTGTGTGTGTGTGTGTGTGTGTGTGTGTGTTTGTGTGTGTGTTTCAATGTGTTTGGTTATGGACATGATGGAAAAAATATAAAACTGGAAAGTAATTTAGATAAGGTAGCCCTCATATTTAGAACTGATGTTTCAAAATAACAAGTAGATCCAAGCAGCATCAAGGTTCCTTCTTGAAAAGAGGGAAGTAGACCTACTTGTCCAACTCTCCAACTAACCCCATAAATTCTCTATAATTTTTCTATCCAGGAGGAAGCACAGGACAGTTGGTGAAACAAACAACTGACATTTTGACTGTTACTGAAGGACAACCTGTTTATCTCCATGTTCTTATGAAGTTTTCCTAGAAATTGACTGTAAATTATCTCCAGAAAATTACAAGAACTGGTGTTCAGTTGGAATGAAATATCCCTCTCCCTCCCTCCCTCCCTCCATCCCCCCCCATGTTTGTGTGTTTGGTGAAGTGCCTAAAGGAAAGAATATACAACTGGGAAGGAATTTATACATAATTACAACTGATGTTTGAAAAATAATAAGAGAGTAGATCCAACCAGCAGCAAGGTTGCTTCTGAAAAGAGGGAAAAGGACATACATGTCTACTTCTCCAACTAACCTCATGAATTCTCTATTATTTTCTGTCCAGGAGGAAGCACAAGCCAGTCAGTGAAGCAAACAACTGGCATTTTGACTGTTACTGAAGGACAACCTGTTTATCTCCATTGTTCTTATGAAGCAGGGTTTACTGGCACACATTACCCATTCTGGTACATTCAGTCTCCCGATCAGCCTCCAAAACATCTTCTGGATTCACATTTGAAAATAGCTAAAGGATTCCAAGCTGCTCACAATCCCAATGAAAATAGAAAAAATGGGACTTTCAACATGCAGAAACCAACCATCCAATTGAAAGACTCTGCTGTCTACTTTTGTGCCTTCAGAGACACAGTGAGACAAAGTAGATGAGAAGCCAACAAAAAGGCACAAAGGGGGAGAAAAGCAAAGAAGGTGAGCTCAGAAATGAAAATTCCAATAGTTCCTTTGAGATTAGGGTCCATGAATGTAGTTGGACATAATCCAGGTCAACCTTGCAATGGAAGGAAAATTTAGGAAATGGGGTTAGCTTAATATCAGTGTCTGATCCCAAGAAGAAGGATCACCTGGGAAAATATCTGATAAGGTTATCTAACTACTTGGAACCACTTATCTCCATAGTCATGGAAAGAGGCCTTTCATGTCATTTAGGTTCTACCATTGTGAGTTCTCCATTCAATACTGGGATTCATCTTTCCATTTTTAACCCTTTCAGACTCTAAAATGATTCCAACTCACGTTTCATATGAAAAATCTCTCTCTCTCTCTCTCTCTCTCTCTCTCTCTCCTATTTATCCTCCAAGTTTCTTCTCTATTCACCTGTCCAATTATACATTGTTCTTTCAAAAATCACCTTCAATACTGGGATCCTTCCTTCAACTAAACTATTTTATTATGTCTACTTTAAAACACATGGTGGCATCCTTGGGACAACTTGAGTTTCACCAGGGGACACACAAGTTCTTCTGTAGCAGATATGGTCTCTGAACCATTTCCTGTGGTTTGCCTTCCTTTTACCACCAAATTTACATTTTAGAAGACAATTCCTTTGTGAAAGGAAAGAATATATAGCTTCTAAGTATCTGTTGAAGCAAGGTGGTAGCAAAACCTCTGAAGGTGACTACACCAATTTGAAGCTCTCCAAGGATTATTTTAGGGGGGCTTAGTACCCAAATTCTTAATCTGAAAAAAATGTAGCTCTTCTTCTTCTTCTTCTTCTTCTTCTTCTTCTTCTTCTTCTTCTTCCTCATCATGATCATCATCTCACTTCTAAGTATGTATTTACTTCCTAACAATGATAGACTATAGGTTCTAGCTGTGCATGTCTTCAATTATTTAAGTGACTCAAATCAAGTCAATCCCTTGGAAGTTTTCCTAGAAATTGGCAGTAAATGATCTCATGGAAATGACAAGAACTGAAGTATTCAGTTGAAATTATACTGTATATAATTTCTCCCTCTCCCTCCTTCCCTCTCCCTCCCCCTCCCTCTGCATTTGGTGAGGGGCATGATGGAAAGAATATACAACTGGAAAGGAATTTATATAAGGTAGCCCTCATAATTTATATAAGGTAGCCCTCTTGTTGTTTGAAAAATAACAAGAAAGTAGATCCAAGTAGCAGCAAGGTTGCTTCTGAAAAGAGGGAAAAGGACATACATGTCTACTTCTCCAACTAACCTCATGAATTCTTTATTATTTTCTGTCCAGGAGGAAGCAGAGGACAGTCAGTGAAGCAAACAACTGGCATTTTGACTGTTACTGAAGGACAATCTGTTTATCTCCATTGTTCTTATGAAGTAGAGTTTTAGGAGCTCATATGTCCTATTCTGGTACATTCAGTCCAGAGCTGATATTTAGCAGGTTCTGATCAGTTCTGGAGAACCAGTAGTGGGAATTTTGAGTAGTTCAGAGAACCTGCAAATACTACCTCTGTCTGAAGATTTTACAGTATTCTTCTCTTGCCACACCCACCAAGCCATGCCCACAGAACCGGTGGTTAAAAAAAATGAATCCCACCACTGATTCAGTCTCCTGGTCAGTCTCCAAAATACTTTTTGGATTCACATTTGAAAACAGCTCAAGGATTCCAAGCTACTCACAATGATGAAAACATAAAAAAGGGGACTTGCAACATGCAGAAAACAGCTATCCAGTTGAAAGACTCTGCTGCTACTTTTGTACCTTCAGAGACACAGTTAGTCAAAGTAGATGAGAAGCCAACAAAAGATACACAAAGGGGAGAAAAGCAGAGAAGGTTAGTTCAGAAATGAAAATTATAATGGTCTCTTTGAGATTAAGGTCCATGAATGTAGTTGGATGTAATCCTGATCAACCTTCCAATGGAATTCAAATGTAGAAAATTGAATTAGCTAATGTCACTCAATGTTTGATCTCAAGACGGACTGAGATTATAAAAAAATGTTATCTAATCACCTGGTAGCACTTACTCCATTGGCATGCAGAGCCTTCTCAGTTTTTGCATCCATGATTTACATTTCATTTAACTCATCCTGTGGTTATTTGTATAGGTTTATCAGGGTATTAAACTACATTAGATAATATAAAATGACTATAATATGTCCACCTGCCACTATTTTTGCAAATATTCTCCTTTTGAAAGGATAACTTAGTGGGAAACTTCTCTTGATAATGATGGACCTCTGAATGCCAGAAAGATTTTAGTATAGAAAATATGTCACCATGTTAAGCAGTCATTCCAAAAGGCATAGCTGTCATGCTGCTGTTGGAATCTGATTCCGAGGGGGAAGGTTGAACAGCTCACAGGAAGTGGGAGTGTGGCTCCTGTGGCTGTGGAAGGAATTGGAGAAGGGCACAGTCCAGCTGGGCCTTCAGAGGAAGACCCAGGGCCACCTCCTCTTCATCCTAGGGCACACAAGAAGGAACAGAGAAGGGAGCAACATGAGTTATGGGGGTTATGGGGGAGAAAAGGGCCCTGATTCCCCTCATTAACTGCAGCTGGGAAAACAGGATTTTAAAAGGGCATTTGTGCACATCACCTTGCTGGAAGCAAAGTGTGAATTATCTTTGTTTGTCAAGTCTTATCTGGGTTCCGGCATCCTCCCAACTGTGTGTTTCATTATCTTTTCAAATCTCCAATTCCTTATCCTGCCCTGTCTCATTAATTGCTGCAGCATGGTCTGTCTTGGTTTTTATTTATAATCTATATGTACTTTGGGTTCGGATTGAATTTCTTCCCTTTAAAAACTTTTCTTGGCAGAGTTTTTTCTCCAGCCGATGATAACTGGACATTGGGGACCAAGTTGGAGGTATTAAAGGGACTTTACCTACTTTTGTTATTTTGTTGCTCTTCTGCCACACCCCAGGTCATCAGAGGAGCAAAGGGGAGTACAGATTTTATTTTTATTTATTTATTTATGTGATTTGTCAATTGCTTAAAAAATAATAGGTATAAGTATAAACATGAGTAAGAATACAGAAAATAGGTATGATTAAATGGGGACAATAGGACAGGGATGGGAGGCACAATGGTGCACTTATGCACGCCCCTTACAGACCTCTTAGGAATGGGGTGAGGTCAATAGTGGATAGTTTGAGGTTAAAGGAGTGGGGGTTCGAGGATGTAACTACAGAGTCAGGTAGTGCATTCCAGGCATTGACCGCTCTGTTTCTGAAATCACACTTTCTGCAACACACACACACACACACACACACACATGTTCTTAAGTTTTCGCGGGTACTTACATGTATGGTATAAAGCTTTGTTCGGGTATTTTCCCACGTCATTATAGTTGTGTTTTTAAAGTTGTAGCAACGTTTCGGCAGAATCTCACCTGCCATCATCAGGCTTCTGTATTGTGTTCATCTGTGAGTCAGACTTTTAATAAAAGCACAACTATAATGACGTGGGAAAATATCCGAACAAAGCTGAATACTATATATATAATGTAATATATGCAAAATACAGCACTGATAAGCAACTACGTATCAGCTCAAAATCAAATCCCAACCCAACAACCACTACCACAACTACTACCTCAACTACAATCACAACTACAACCAAAAATAACCACCAAACCACAACCACAAATAATTACTATCCCATCAAATAATTCCACAAATGACACCTCCTTACTCATCAGAGACACCATAGAATGTGATCAGAAACATTCAAATGCCATCTTATATGGTCTTGAAGACACCAACGAATCAGATGACATCACCAAAGTTCGTAATATCATAAGCAACTCAAATACAACAAACATCTCTCCTAAAGATATCATTGAAATAACCAGAGATGGCTGTGGGTACAAATACAATGATGGCCCTGTGGCCCCAAAATTTTGTAGAGTTGTTTGCAAAAATGAATCCAGCAAATGCATATTCATTCATACAATAAAGGCCATTGCAAAAACCAATCCCAACCACAAAAACCTTCGCTCAAGACCAGACTTATCCATACTGCAAAGAATCCGCTCCTGTGAACTCCACAATTAACTCAAAAGATGTCTGGACAATGGAGAAAAGGATCTACATTGACTACTGCACAGATTGTATCAAAAGTAAGTCACACAACCCACAACTCCATATCCAACCCTACCTCATCCAAACCACCATCACTCAAAACTAGGCACGCATGCCCCTAACTACCTCAATTCCAACTACAACTAGCCTTAAATGCAAGCTACTCAATGCAAGAAGCCTTGTGAATAAAATACCTGAATTTCTCCTTACTAAATATGGCTAAATTCGACATCATATTTGTCTGTGAAACATGGTTCAATGCATCTCTCCCTGACTTCATTACCACAGTAAGAGACTATCATGTTTACCGATCAGATCATGAAATCCGTAGAGGAGGTGGTGTTGCTATCTTCTATAAAAAGTCCTTAATCTAAAAAACATCCAAGTTACCCAAGAGTTTGCTCTTCCTGAGACCATCGTCTGTGAACTGTCCTTAAATATCACATTTTGATTCTTATTATGTTACAGAGCCCCTGATTATGACATCGAACATGTAAACAATGGTAAAGACTGCAATGATGACACCATTAAAGCCAACCTCTTTAACACATTCTTTAGCTCAGTATTTGTAAACAGCAATGGATCATGCCCAGTATTTCCTAGTCGAACCACAGACAACTACAATTATCTAATACATATCAATTTTACAGAAGAGAATGTTGAAAAAGCACTACGCAATCACAAACCATCTCTATCTATTGGACCGGATAGAATATGTGCCTACTTCTTAAAGAGGCTATCCACTGCCATAGCCAACCCTCTAAGCATAATCTTAAAAAAATCTTTCAGGACCAGCTCCTTGCCAAATCTATGGTCACAAACCAAGGTCATTCCCATCTTCAAAATGGGAGACCCCAGCCTAGTTGAAAATTACAGACCAATCTCTTTATGCTGCATCACCTGTAAAGTAATGGAATTAAATATTAACCAATCCATTATCCTCCACTTAGAGACAAACAACCTACTCTCCAATAAACAATTTGGTTTCAGAAAAAAACTATCCTGCAATCTGCAACTCTTACATTGCAAAAACATATGGACTACACAACTCGATCAGGGCAAAACAATAGACGCAATCTATATAGACTTCTGTAAAGCCTTTGATTCAGTGGTACAAGACAAACTACTCCTAAAACTAAAATCTTATTGTATCTCTGGACACCTGCATAACTGGATAGAAGCATTCCTGTCAAACAGACAACAAATGGTCAAAATAGGGAGTGTCCTATCAAATTCTGTACCTGTCAAAAATGGTGTCCCCAAAGGCAGTGTTCTAGGACCAACTCTCTTCATACTCTACATAAATGACCTCTGTGATCATATTAAGAGCAACTGCGTTTTCTTTGCTGATGATGTAAAGCTATTCAACACCACAGACAATACTGCTACCCTTCAAAAAGACCTTGACTATGTATCAGAATGGTCAAGCAAATGGCAACTTCAAATCTCAACAAACAAATGCTCTGTCCTATATATTGGCAAAAAAAATCAGAAAATAAAATACAGGCTAGACCAATACTCAAATACAGCTCATCAGTCTGGAACCCACATTATGTATCTGATATTAACACAGTTGAGAAAGTCCAGAAATATTTCACAAGAAGAGTCCTCCACTTCTCTACTCGTTGCAGAATACCTTATGCCACCAGACTTGAAATTCTAGACCTAGAAAAACTAGAACTATGCTGCCTTTGGTCCGATCTAAGTATAGTATATAAAACCATACATTGCAATGTCCTACTTGTCAATGAATACTTCAGCTTCAACCATAACAATACAAGAGCAAACAATAGATACAAACTCAAGGTTAATCGCACCAAACTTGATTGCAGGAAATACGACTTCAGCAACAGAATGGTCAATGTCTGGAATACTCTACCTGACTCTGTGGTTTCTTCCCCAAACCCCAAAAACTTTAACCTTAGACTGTCTACTATTGTCCTCACCCCTTTCCTAAGAGGTTTGTAGGGGGCATGCATAAGCACACCAACGTGCCTATATGTATCCATGTATTCATAATTATTATCTTGTAAGCAATTGACAAACCAAATAAATAAATAAATCAAGTTTGGAGCGGTTAACATTGAGTTTGTATCTGTTGTGTGCTCTTGTATTGTTGCAGTTGAAGCTGAAGTAGTCATTGACTGGTAGGACATTGTAGCAGATAATTTTGTGCACTACACTTAAGTCCAACTTTAGGCGGCATAGTTCAAGATTGTCCAAGCCCACAATTTCAAGTCTAGTGATATAGGGTATTCTGTTGCGAGCAGAGGAGTGTAGTACTCTTCTCGTGAAATACTTCAGGACTCGCTCAATTGTATTAATGTCTGATATACAGTGCAGATTCCAGACAGATGAGTTGTATTCGAGTATTAGTCTAGTTTTGTATGCCCTAGTTAGCAATTCAATATTTCCAGAGGAGAAGTGTCAGGTGGTGCTCCATTCAAAATTCAAGAAAGAAATACTTAGACTCTTTAGATTAGAGAAAAGATATCTTTTACTGAAAATGAAGTGGTAGCATCAGTAGAATTCTGAATCTGAGAAATTAGGCGTGCAGATCACATATACAAAGTGATGGAAATGTTCCCACCCCCCATAGTTCAAATGATTCTTCCAATTAAAAGTTGTGAATATGATCATGTGGACATCTTCAGGTGGTGATGAGGCCTCTGTCCATTGACCTTGGCATATTTTGATAAAGATTTGCAGCTGCGCAGAGAAAAGAAGGCTAAGCGAGAAATAGAAACCTAA